TGGGATCCGAACCCATGGCCTTGGTTTTATCAGCACCACACTCTCCCAAGTGAGCCACAGGCCGGCCCGTGAGCTGAAATGTTTTTATTCTATCATCTATTCACTTTCATTTTTATGAATAACGTTTTTTCTTTAATTTTTTAAAACTTTATTTTGAGGGCCGGCCCGGTGGTGCACTGCTACAGTGTGCCGCTTGGGAGTGCGGCAGCGCTCCCCCCGAGGGTTCGGATCCCACATACAGACCGGTTCCCGCTCACTGGCTGAGCGAGGTGCGGGAGCGGCACCGAGGGTTGCGATCCCGTTGCCGGTCCTGGTCCGGTATGGGCACGACACTGAGGGTTGCAATCCGTTGCCGGACACGAAAAAAGACAAAAAAACAAACAAACAAAAAAAAAAACCTTTTATTTTGAAATTATTGTGGTCTCACAGGAAGCTGGAAAAAAGTAGAAATATCCTATATGTTCTTTGCTGAGCTTCCCCCAAATGGTAACATCTTACAGAACTAATACCAAACCAGGAAACTGACATTTGTGTGACTGTTTGGATGTTACAGGGAAACTCTTTGCAAAAACAACCTGGTTTTACCATATGTGTATTGATAGTGATTGGAAGTAGCTTGGTAGGATAAAGCATTTTCTGATCTGTAAATGGAATCAATAGATTCTGGTTATGTTATACTTCAGTAACTCTGAAAACACAGAATTCTGTGGAAAAGAATAAGTTAGCATACACAGTTGGTACTTAGATTATAGTAATGATATTTTTTAAACTAAAATATTAGGGAAATGAGACTACCTCTGTCACCTAGGTGGCCTGTGGCCAGTTAATAAAACCAGGAAGTGAAACAGTCATCTTTTCTGTGATATTTATGTGCTTTGCCACTTTGAAGTTTCGGCACTTGGGCTTTCCATTCATAATAGGGGTGCATTGAACACGTGGTATTTTGTTTGTTTGTTTGTTTGGGGGTTTTTTTGGGTTTTTTTGACCGTTAAGGGGATCATAACCCTTGGCTTGGTGTTGTCTGCACCACGCTCAGCCAGCGAGTGCACCGGCCATCCCCATATAGGATCCGAACCTGCGACCTCTGCACTACCAGTGCTGCACTCTCCTGAGTGAGCCACTAGGCCGGCATGAACATGTGGTATTTTTTATATCCTTATTTTTAGTGTGGGAGGGTATCTTTTAAGTCAGCATCTCCGTTTCGCAGGGTTTCTGAACTGAGGTTCAGAATGTTGTTATTTTTCCAAGGCTGTGGCAGATCCATGATTCAAACTCTTTAACTCCCAGCCGTGTGACTTAATGCACAAACCCATGTACAATCAACAACATCTTGCCAGGAATTATTAAATACTGCTAACAGTTGCCATAAATCGTGAGTACAGAAATAGGTAAATAAATATAAAAAAGAAATACAATGAAAACAAAAGGCAAATGATTCTAAATTCTTTCATCCTTTTCTTTTTTTTCTTTTTAGGTGGCTGGCTGGTGCAGAGATCTGAACCCTGGACTGTGGTGTTCTCAGCACTATGCTCTCCCAGTTGAGCTAACCAGCTAGGCTGTGATTCTAAATTCTGTTTTGTTTTTTTTTTATTTTGGCAGCTGGCCAGTACAGGGATCCAAACCCATGATCTTGGTGTGATTCTAAATTCTAATCCTACACTAGCTGCCAAAGGCTGTGGACCTTAATCCTGCTCTCTTTGTTAAAGAGAGAGAGACGTTAGCCAACTTCAGGGAAGAATTTAAGACTCACTGGCATCAAAATGAGACTTGTTTCTCATTGCAATCAGAAGTGTTGAAAGAGGATCGCATACTTTCATTGCTTGAATCAGTTATTAAATGCCACTTCTGGGCTGGTCTATTAGCTCAGTTGGTTAGAGCATGCTGTAATAGCACCAAGGTCAAAGGTTCAGATCCCCATACCGGCCAGACGCCAAAAGATAAATAAATGCCACTTCTGACTTCTAGCCAGGGTGTGTTCCATGCAGAGTCCCCAAAGCTTCAGGGAGCTGTGAAGCTGAGTACAGTGGTTGGCCACAAATTAACGCTCAAATCTGTTGGTAGAAATTGTGGAACTTGGTCAGCCTGAGGTCCTTGTGGCTTATCTTTGGCCAAAGGGTCAGCCTTTCCCAGAGGAGAGTCCTACTGTATATGATCCCTTCTCCAGCACCTCTGGACTCCTGGGTCTGTTGTGAGGCGTGAGGGATGGGTGGATCTGCTTCTCTGCTTTTTGGCATATATACAGGCCCCCAGATCCAGGTCTCCTTATTCACTGCTGAGCTCCCAGCACCCCACGGTCCTCAGCCCAGTGTGGACCTCAAAAATGGGTTTTGTTTTTTCGGAGGGGGTGGCTGGCCAGAAAAGGAATCTGAACCCTTGACCTTGGTGTTGTAACACCATGCTTTAATCAGCTGAGCTAAGTGACCAGCCCCTTCAGCAAATGTTGAAACAGGTAAATGAAATACTTTATATGTGTGTTGTGGGTGGGAGGGGAAGCCGACAAAGTTGCCCAGCCCAGGGGAAGAGGTCCTCTGCTCTCAGGACTGCTTTCAAATCTGAAAGTGAGCAAAGTGAGCATGTTGCCTATGTTCCCCTAAGGGCAATAGGGTCTGGGGGAGAGGAAGTGTGCTTTAAAGTTGGGTTTGAATCTCGGCTTTTACACTTTCTAGCTTTGGGAGTAAAATGACTTCACGCCTCAGTTTCCTTATCTGTAACTGGGGTCGTTAGAAAAGCTAGAAACCACACTAAAGCACTTGGCACATAGTAGGCATTCACAGTGCATGGTGTGGCTGTGTCCCTGAATCCATGCTGTGCCCTTTCTGTGCTTTTGTGGAAAGACTATGTGTCCTTAATGCCGAAAATACCTTTCAGACTGTTGTGATTAGAAAGACCAGTAGAGGGCGACAGAGATTGAATCTTGACAACGCGGCTGACTGCTCGCCTTGCTGAGCCCCAGGGGAATGGCCGGACCCGGCTTTCTTCTGTTCCTGGGGAGCAGCGGGAGGACGTAGTGCAATTGCCACATGCACCCCTTTACTGCGCTTCAGAACTAGGTAGATGATGGCAGAAGTAGGGCTGCAGTTGCAGTAGGGCCGCAGTTGTCAAGAGCTGTCCCAGACCTTCCCTTCCCTCCCCAGTTTTCCTTTTCTTGTACAACTCACTTTGAATAAGGGAAAACATGCCGGCATAGTCAGCATTAGTAAGGCTGCAAGTTTCATGTTTTTAATGAAGTAATGTTCATGTAGCATCAAACTAAGCATTTAAAGGGGCACAACACAGTGGTATTTAGTACATTCTCATTGCGTGACTAGCCCCTCTATTTCCAAAACATTTTCATCACCCCAAAATAAAACCCAGTACCCACGAAGCACTCGTCCCCTATTCCGCCCCTTCCCTCCAGCCCCTGCCAACCACCAATCTGAAAGCACCAATCTGCTTTCTGTCTGTGTGGATTTACTGATTCTGAGTATTTTTAAAGTGGAATCGTACAACATGACCTTTTGTTTCTGGTTTCTTTCACTTAGCATGTTTTCAAGGTTCACCCACATTGTAGCGTGCATCAGAACTTCATTCCTTGGGCCTGCCCGGTGGCGCACTGCTACAGTGCGCCGCTTGGGAGCGCAGTGGCCCTCCCGCCGAGGGTTCGGATCCCACGTACAGACCCGCCACTCACCCCGTCCGGTACGGGGACTGGCGCGACACTGAGGGTTGCGATCCGTTGCGGGACACGAAAAAAGACAAAAAGGAAAAAAAAAAAAAACTTCATTCCTTTACATGGCTGAAAAATATTGCATTATATGGATATATCTTATTTTGTTTATCCCTTTATCCATTGATGGACATTTGGATTGTTTCCACTTTTTGGCTATTATGAACAGTGCTGCTGTGAAGATTTTTGTTTTGAGAACCTCATTCATAAAATTTTCTTTTAACCCTCCTTTTTCCCCAAGGCAAAATGCTTGCTGTATGAAATCAATACAGAAATCGGTAAAAGAAATCACGTCCCATAATCCCATCCCGCTGAGTTAACATATTCTGGTTTTTACTGGAGCCTTTTAAAAATACATTTTTGTTTTTTAACAATACCAAAGACAGGAGGTAAAATTAAGTATTATAAAAATATCTATACAAGTAAGCTATTTGGTCAATAACCCAATGATAGGATTGCACTGAATATGATATAATAAGAAATGCTAATTAATCAGATTTTTTTTTCTAAAAGTTGGTTCAGTCCTTGATCTTTGCATTCTTTAAGCATTTGAGAGGCTATTCACTCAGAGGCTTTGGGTTTTTTTGTTTGTTTGTTTGTTTGTTTGTTTTTATAAGATGACCGGTAAGGGAATCTCAACCCTCAACTTGGTGTTGTCAGCAATGCGCTCTCCCAAGTGAGCCAACCGGCCATCCCTATATAGGGATCTGAACCTGCAGCCTTGGTGCCATCAACACCACACTCTCCCAAGTAAACCATGGGCTGGACCTCAGAGGCTTTTGAAGGCCTCAGTTACTCGCCTGCAGTGAGTCCCCATAGGAGGCAGCAGAATTGATAAAGTGGAAACCAGAACCCACACTTGTGGTCACTCTCCAGTAAATCTCACCCAAGCATGCATGC